GTGCGTTTTACACTGCAGCTTGTTGTTACTCCTCTAGGTGTAGAGGCCTCATAAACCGAATCAGACCGTCAGCTTTTGAATCAAACATTACTATTCCCTGTGTGACCAAGCTGTCAGAACAGCTGTGGATCAGACCCTTCCACTTCCTCCATGTCACAGTCATAGAGACTCAGCTGTACTGTTGTGACAGATTAAAATTAAAATTTAATTATGCTAATTGCAATTATATTGTGTGCATTTAGCTATTATAAATTAATGAAATAAATACACTATATAGTTAAGGGTTAATTAAAATAATTTTAAATGTGAGGTTAAAACTAGCTCTAGGCTTGCAGTTTTTGCTAATTAAAATTTTTTAAAAATTAAAACAAAAAAAGTAAATAAAAACCTTAAATTTAAGCACCTTTAATATGAGAGCTCATTATAATTAAAATGGTTAATCAATAGTTTATTTAAATTTAAAAAGGCAATGCCCCAATAGGAGTCCTGTGTGTTTTATAAAATTAATTATAATTTATAAAATATAACCTGTGTGTTTTATAAAATTAATTATAAAAAAACTAAATAATAAAATATACTGTAAAACTGTTGTCTAAAGCTATCCTAAAAAACTTTTTCCTAACACCTTGCTCCCCAGCTGTTAAGGCTGGCTGAGCAGGTAGGGAAAACCCTGAGTGCTCCGCTACTGCCACCACCACTTGCCTCCCTGTAGAAAGGCCCTGTACCTACGGCACCCACAGTATTAAATAGAGTGTTACAAAAAATTCAGGAAGCTGGGTTTATTAAAAAAAATGCAAAAAGCCCAGTTGTGTTCCCAACAAGTAAATTATTTTGAAGTGACTTGGGACAGGAAGGGTGCTCCCCTAATCAACAAAAAGAAAAGCTGATTTTTAAATTACCAGCTCCCACAGATGTCACAGCTCTTAAATCCTTTTTGGGAATGGTTAATTTTCCCCAAAATGTTATTAAGGGGTTTTCAAAAAAGGCAGCCCCGCTGCATAAGTTGTTAAAGAAGGGGGTGAAATGAAACAGGGGCCCTTTGCAGCAGGAAGCCATAATCCAGTTAATGCAGGCCTTAGTTCAGGCTCCAGTTTTAGCATATTCCCAGGTGGGACAGCCATTTGTGCTACAACTGGCAACTACAAAAATGGAATGGGGAGGGTACTAAGTCAGAACCATGGAACAGGGCTCCATCCTATGGCTTATGCCCTTAAATAAAGTAGAAAGAGGGTTTACTCCTAATAAAAAAAAAACCTTAGGGCACCCAAAAAAGGCATAGCCCCTATATCAACAAAAAAAACCCTAAACAAATAGATGTAATCACCCTTCAAAGCAGGACCCCAATCTAGCAGTGACCGTGGCAAAAAAAAAATACAGAAAATGGACAGTGTGGCAGCATAAATCCAAATTAAACCTAGCCACTAAAACAAAACAAACAAAAGTAGTTTGGATGGTACCCACAGCATTAAAAACAGAAATAATTTCCCTAGCCCATGAGAGGGGGCATTTGAGAGTAAAAAAAAATCTTTAGCTAAATTGCAAGCACCTGGCTGGTGCCAAATATAAGCAGCACTATAAAATAGTTTGTAAATAACTGTCTGTCCTGTACAGCCAATAATGTTAATTCTAATATAATCAAAAGGCCTCTAAAACACCAGAGAATAGAGGGGCCTTGGGCTCATTTACAATTTAATTACATTGGCCCATTAGCAAGAAAAGCCAGGGGTAGTCAGTATTGTTTAGTAATTGTTAATCTGTTTACAAAATGGAGTAAACCAATCCTCACCCAAAACTACACAGCCCAAACTACAGCCCGTGTTCTGATTGAGCCGATAATAACCAGGTGGGGTATTCAAAAAAATACTAATTTGGACCAAGGGCCCCATTTCATCAAGAATATTACTAAAAGGCTTTGTCAAGCCATTCGAATTAAGCAGAAATTGCATATAGCAGGACACCTCCAAGTTCAGGCCAGTTAGAACGGGCTAGCCGCACTCTTAAAACAGCTTTTAACAAAATAGTAAACCAGCAGGGCAAGGATTGGGATCAGCGACTACCATTTATTCTTATGGTCATAATGGACTCTGTGGTCTCTCATGGAGTTATCCCATTCAAGGCAACAACTGGAAAAAGACATGTGCCTTTTAGAACAATGGTGGGTAGGTGGCGCATCGCTAATAAACTGCAACCCCGGGTCCTTACAGACCAGTGGATGCAACAGCTGTTAAAAGTTGTTGCTAGTACGCATAGGCAGGTAGCTGTGGCCCTAGCAGCCAATGACTAGTGGTGTTCCCCAAGGGTCAGTCCTCGGACCGATCCTATTCAACTTATTCATAAATGATCTGGAGAAAGGGGTAAACAGTGAGGTGGCAAAGTTTGCAGATGATACTAAACTGCTAAAGATTGTTAAGTCCAAAGCAGACTGTGAAGAACTTCAAAAAAGATCTCACAAAACTAAGTGATTGGGCAACAAAATGGCAAATGAAATTTAATGTGGATAAATGTAAAGTAATGCACATTGGAAAAAATAACCCCAACTATACATACAATATGATGGGGCTAATTTAGCTACAACAAGTACAGGAAAAAGATCTTGGAGTCATCGT